CAGCTGGTACTTCGAGTTTTTGCCAGTAGCTCAAATATTTGAAAAACCCAGCTTGCCTCTTGTAATAGCTGTGCTCTGCTGTTGTTTGGAAAGATTGCACATGGTGTTTGTCATCTTTCAAGTTTGTTACTGTACATCTGCTCTCTACATGATTTTTTAAGAATCTGACTTGCCGAGGCAGTGTCAGACTTCTTGCACACAGTTTAACAGCTGGTGTCCAGGAGAAGGTGATCTGAGTTGACCTGGAGTGGTACTGCTGTGGCTGCGGGGGAAGCATGCAAAGAAAAACAAAAATGCATTGAATAAGTCTTTCTGTACCACACATGCCTCTACAGCAGTCACTACTGGGATAAGTGCCTTCTAATTTTTAGACAAAAGGCAAGTTGTTATGGAGTTGTTACGCAAGTTTTATGGGAGGGGGAGAGAAAAAGGGAGGTGAGAATGCTGAGGAAGCATGCAAAATATGAGTTTTCATGGGTTGATCTAAGCTAATTCAAGCTTTTGATGTCCTGTCCTTTCCGAATGCATGTGGAAATTGAGTTGCTGGTGCCTGGAGGGGTTGGAGAGCAGTGTCCATTTGTACTCCAGTTGGAGTTCAGTCCAGCCAGATGTCCAATCTGATCCATGTCCAGTGAGGCACGCATGGGTTTAGTGAGATGTTAAGCAACATCTCACCCTCTTAGTTTTTCTTCTCTCCCCTTTTGACTCTGATTTTTCTGGTTTGACACTAATGTCTCATACATTTCCACTTCAGCCAATTGTGCTGTATAGCACCTTTCTAGATTCTTCATCTCTTGTGCTAGATGCAGCTGATGGTTTAAAGGCAGTGTCAGGCATAGGTGGCCTCACAGTGGAGAGCAACCCCTTTATCCAAATTATAAGTCTTTGGTTTCATTGTGTACTTAGCTGGGGCAAAATGAGTAAAAATGTACGAATTTAGGATTGGGACCAATCTACTGCACTGACATAATTTTTTAAAATAATCATTTATTTGCTTTAGATTTTTCAATTATTTGTGGATGGAAGGTGTTCTGTTTTGTGCTGGGGTAGAGTTATTTTTTTTCACAGGAGTTAGTAGGGAGCTGTGTTTTGAATTTGTGCTCAACCCAGAGTAGATAAATTAGAGATTTTATTTCTGAGCAGGGTTTACGCAGAGCCATGGCCTTTTCTGCTTATTGTGCTTTGACATTGTCAAGGAGAATACTGGGGATGCTTTGGAGATTTGGGAGGATACACAGCTGGGACAGGCAGCCCAAAATGACCAGGGGAATATTCCAGACCATGTGACATCATGCTCAGTATATAAAGTGAGGGGAAGAAGGGAGGGATGTTTGGAGTGACAGTGCAATACTTTGACTTTCCAAGTCCCTGTTAGTGTGATGGAGCTCTGCTCTCCTGGAGATGGCTGAACACCTGCCTGCCCGTGAGAAGCAGTGAATTAATTCCTTGCTGTGCTTCTTTTGCGTAGGCAGCTTTTGCTTTCCCTATTAAACTGTCTTTATCTCAACCCATGAGTTTTCTATCTTTTACTCTTTTGATTCTCTCCTTGATCCAGCTGGTGGGGGACAGAGAGAGCAACTGTGTGGGGCTTGGCTGTTGGCTGGGGTTTAACCATGGAAGAAGGGAAAAGTTATTAAACCTCTGTATTGCAAAACTGAATATGATTTCTAAATGCCAGTGTATTTAATATAGTGACATTACAGTGAATATCTTGTCTAGGAAGAAACTGGGACTGAGTGTGACTCAAAAAAGGTGGAAGATGAACATGGAAGGCAGTGGAATTACCATTGCAAATTCTTGTTTTCTGCTCTTGGCAACACACTCCCTTCAGTCTGGTTGTATCTCATGAAGACCCTGTAATTCAGAGGTCTGTTTTGTCTTGATTAACTTGTAATCTAACGTCTTGCTACGTAGATTTTGAAGTTAATTTAGCCTCACTTCTCATGCATTTTCTTTAAAAAGGATTAAATTCATCTGAGCTGCATGTGGTGAACAAAAAGGTGGTTGTGCTTTTGTAATAAGGACACAAGCTTTTTACTTAGTAATGGGTTAATATCTGAATGGGTTTGTAAGTGTTTACTTCACTTAGGTAAAGGTTTTAAATTAGAAGGAACTTATTGCAGTTGCAGAGTTGTTTTTTTATTTTTTTTTCTTCTCCCCTGATCAGGAGCAGGTAGTGGATTGCTTGATTTGTTGCATATATTTGCTCATCGGTGTTCAGTTTACCTTTTGGAATTAACTTCAAACTGAGGTTGTTACTGAAATGAGGTTGCTACATAATAATTTAAATCATGCATTCAAATATGGAAGTTGTTTATTTTCCCCTACCTTCAGCCCTGTTGTGTGCTTTAGCCTGCTCATTAGAGAAATGTGATTTCTTGTGTTGGTCTGTCACTCCCCTGGTAGCTCTTCAACACACTGGACCATTTCATCAGGAAGTGACCAGAAAATGAAAAGCTCAAACTGCAGTTGCATGTTTTCTTCAAATTAGCTTTTACAGGCAAGAAAGAACATTATATGGAGAAGGGTCTTAAATAAGAGCTCCTGGCGGAAGGCGTTCTGATTGCACTCAGTGTGGTAGGTGTTTCAAGACATAGCAGACAGTTAGCTGGGCAGTGCACAGCCAGCTTCCAACTGGGCCCAGTGTGTTGTGTGGGCTAGTGAGGGAGCTGGGTGAACTGCAGAAGGTAAGGGCAGGGGACAGCTCTGAGAATGCTAGACAGAAAGCCATGGAAAAAACAGGCTTTTTTCTGGTGGCCTCGTCATATAAAAATTTGATTTAACACTAATTTGTGCTCCTTTTAATTTATTTCTTAAAAATTATGTTTATATGAAATGCATTTTCACTGTAACATTTACATTACAGTGGAAGAATTCTTCATAATTACTTCTATGTCATAGCTCCAATGCACTAGCCTGTTTGCAGAGTGCTGGTGCTACGATGTTGCTCTTCAGTAATAGTGAATTTCCAGATTTGACTTACTTTTGATCAGGTTCAGAGAAGTGTCTGCAATGGATATGAAGTAGTATTTTGAAATATGTGTTTGTAAAGGAATGCAAAAACATAGAACAGAAACAGGAAGGTTTTTTTAATCAAATGCAGGAAATTATTCCTCTGTTACCTCTGATGTGTGTAAAATTTAGTAAAATCAGCTAACCTTAAATTCTGACATACTCAAATTGTCTCATATTAAGAAAGTTGTGCAATATAATTCAAGACTACTGCTTAGAAGTCATGAGCCTGTTCCTTCCTGACCTGTTATGAAATAGTCTTACAATTAAATAGTTTGCTTTCTGTTTATTAAGGTTGTTGAGCTTTTAGAAATGTTCTTTAGAATAAAATATTTTAAATCTTCAGGCAGAAGTCATTACAAAAATTACTGTGCAGCATTTGAAAGGCAAAAGGATTTTTAAGTTTGCTAATGTGATTTTAATTAGAGAAATTGAAAGGCTACTTTAATGGCTTTAGCATAGTAAAAAAGAAATTTTCAGCTAAGTCGTTCCCAAATGAACTATGTCCTTGGTATTAATGTAACTTCTTGTTCTGGAAAGTTTCCATGCCACATGGTTTTAAACAGAATATTATTCCTGAGTAGTACATGGACATTGAACTGTTGTTGTTAAAAATGCAATCAAGTTGACTATTTTGTTAATGTAGTTTTAAAGAAAACTTGTTTAGCTGTTTTTGTTTTATATTGCTTGCCTTTTGGAAGAATTCTGTCTCACTTGGGCATCCTCGCTCTCAAAGCTGCTCTCTGCAGGACAGGGTTTTCTATGCCATTGTGCCCTTTTGTGATGCTTTGAGATCTCTTTTTGTATTTGTTTTCCCCATCTGTTGTGGTTTAGGAATGGTACTCCACAATTTAGTTCTGCCCCCGAGACTTTCCAAACCACACTGTCACTTGCTAGCTCCCTTTCTCCTGCTCTTCTGCCCCCCAGCCCCCCAGATGGCCAGAGAGGAGAACTGGATGCACAAAAGGAAAGAAAGATCACAGCTTGAGATAAGAACATTTTACTGGAAACAGCAGTGAGATTAGTAAACAAACACTAGCAGCACCAATATTAATAAGAAAAGTATGTAAAAAGAGAGAATGATTCACATGCAAAAATGCTCATTGCACAGCCCGATTTGACCAAAGCCAAGTTGTTCCCCACTGTATAGAAATGCGCTGCTTCTTGGAAATGAGGAATCCCTTTTCCCCGCCCCTGGCAATGATGTGAGATGATATCAAATAATGCAGTGTCTTGGCCCCTCCCCTTGGCTGGAACCAGGACACCATCCTCATATATTTCATTTTGCCGAGGAAACCAGTTCTGACAACCTTAGTTTTCTCAGATGAGTGTCTTCGTGCATCTGTCTGACATGTTCCCAAAAGTTGTTCAGTTACCTTACCCCGTTGAGAATGCCATACAGCACCACCTGTGGAAAACCATCTGCATGCAGCCTAATTCTGAGAGGCACTTGCCCTTATGTGTCAGACGGGATTTATCATTTTTACTGAAACCTGTCAGAGCTGGGGTAGGTCGGTGTCTGACGTGATTGGGGGCTGTAGTGCTTGGTCGATGTGTTGGTGGCCAGCTTGCCAAGGCCGGATGCCAGCTTGCTCCAGACAGTGACCTTTCCTGCCACTCCTGTGGGGACTGCCAGGTTTTTATAAATAAAACTGTGCACTGAAGTCCAGTGATTCTGGAACTGCAGCACAAGTCTATGCATACAGTAAATCTTACACCAAAACTAAGGCAAAAAGCCTACATTACCTGTATTGCCTGTATTCTCTGCTGCTCTGCAGTGTTCCTGTCATATTCTGGCATGAGTGCACAACTCCAGTGTCCCAGTAGGAATTGTACAGTGTCTTACAGAGGGAAGGCTGAAGCAAGGCTTTAAAAGAAGCAAGGTGAAGTATTTTTTGGAGAAAAAAAGCCTGAATGTGTGCTTCACTGATTGAGAGCTTTTAATTTCATTTTTGTAAATGTCATACGTATTTGTTTGTAAATTCCAGATTGTGAGCCATGCCTTTGGTGAAAAGGAACATTGAACCACGGCATCTCTGCCGAGGAGCTCTGCCAGAGGGAATTACAAGTGAGCTGGAATGTGTAACGAATAGCACTCTTGCTGCTATCATACGCCAGCTAAGCAGCTTAAGTAAGTATCTGTAACTTCTGCTAGTACTTTATTCATGATGAAAAATTGAAAGGATGAAAAGCTTTAAGATGGATTGTTTTAAATAGCAAAAGTATGGTATGGGACATTGACACTTATGTATTGTAATAATATGCTATTCTATTGCCTTTATATTCTTCTATATTTTGAAGTTTATTAAAACCCCAACCCTCCCCCCACCCCCAAACCTCACTCCAAAAAACAAATTGACAAAAAAGCAAGCAAGCAGGAAAAAAAAGCCACCACCAAGAAAAGCCCCAACCAAAAAAAATGGTGCATTGGAAATCAGAGATTTTTCTAAGGTGAGAGAAATTAGTGCAAGAAATAAGACCAACATTTGAGTTCTTGCCTTTCAGTTCTACAGGACTGAGCCAGCAAACTCTTCTTCCTCTTGGCATCAAATGACACATCTGACTGAAATTTTAGTTTTTTGTAGTATGCTAGTATTTCTTAAGACTTCTCTTTTATATATATGTGTGCTCAATTCATATGAATGAAATTAAGTACATTGAAAGGATGTCATTTGCTGAACAAACCTGCAGGCTGCTGTTGAGGTAGGCTAGCATCAGCTCTGTACAGAGTAGCCTACACACCACACCTGTCAGGTGACACCACTACTAGCAATTCTAGAAGCCTGACTGGAGTGTTTGCAAGATGAACAATATTTTTGATGAAAGGGATAAGAGATGTTTTTCAGACAGTCTTTAACAATCAGCAGCTGTTGTTTGTGCTGATAACGCTGGTCCTAGAAAAGAAATTACTGCTTCATCAGTTGCTTCACTTTGTAAATGGATGTGGTTTTAAAACTGAGAGTCTGTATGGAGCTCAGACTATGGGGTCCACTGGTGTTCAGTTCATGATGGTAGGAAAAACCCTTTGCTTAGGGAAAAAGGACAAGAAACACAGCATTTCCTTGCAGTAGTCAGTGATTGAGGGATTTTTCTGACCTAGAGTCTATCTGAATCATCCTGTGTAATGAGCATTTGTAAAACCATCATCTGTGGTATTGCTTAGATCTTTTGAAATAGGGATTACACCTTTTTCCTGACCAATGACCTATGGCAGAATGTCGCACAATGGAAGTTGACCTGTTTCTTCCTTTTGATACCTTCTCATTCTGGTGTGATGAAAAATAATGAAAAGTGCTTTCATCTTGTGCATTTCCATAATAATTTGTGATTTTTATTAAATCTTTATCCTGTTCTCCTGATGATTTATTTTCCATGTTAAAGCTTGCTGATCTGTAAGTGATCTTCTTGAATAGAAACCATTTTATATTTCCGATCACTGCTATTTCTGCTTTGTATATGTAAGTTAGGGTATGTTGTGGGTTTTTTAAGGTGGATGTTGAGGACTTCAGATCATACTCAAAACAGACTTCTTTTCTATCATTATTGCCCTAAGAATTTGTAGAATTTTGATTGTTGCTAAGCATTGAGTTACTATTTTCAGATAAGCTTGCAAGTGATCTTTCCTTGAACAGCAGCTATTTAGTGTCTGTTATTTAGAGTTAAATTGTGTTTGCATTGTCATTGAGTTTCATTTACTGTTTTCTCAGACAGTTGCTTAGTAGTAACATCCTTAAGTTTCAGAAAAGTGAGAAGAATGGCTAATGTTCTAATTATACTGAAGGAGATGCGATAGAACCTCATTTTGGTATTGTGCAATGATTGTCCAAGTGTGTATAATACACTTGTTACTTGTCTGACTTACTAGGAATGTGTGCAGCTTTGATTTATCCAGATTTGGTCTTGGGGCTAATCTGTTAGACTGTGTATTTAGATCCTCTTATGATTGTTGTTGAGGAACTGACTACTTATATTCATATCCTGCAATTTTCCCTTAGCGGATTTCTTAGGTCATCTGAAGTCTATGTAGGCAGGCCCTAAAGTTCTGTTAGTGTCAAGTTAAAGATCTGTGCAAATAAATGATGTGTCCTTAGTCTTAACAGATTGATATGTGGTATTTAACAAATGAAATGCCATTCTCGTCCACAGTCCAAAATATATCATGTTTACAGAGGGATTTTTTCTATAGACAGCATTTACTTTGCCTGTCTTTTGAGCCAGCTGGGAACAAGGAAAGGATCACAGAAGAATGCTATGCTGGAGCTGAAGTAGTGTCTCCTGCTGACAGCATCAGAGCTGGTTGGTGTTCTCACAGCTTGAAGCATAGAGTGAGCAAGTTCAGGTCTATCTTACAGTCACACTGGTTTTTTAGTGTTGCACTGTGAGTTCAGTGTGGATTTTAAAAACTGGCAGGTCTGTACTGTTGCATACAAACTTGCCTTGCTTCTGCCTCTGCTCTTTTTGGGGCATGTGAACAAGTTCCCATCCAAAGTGAATGTACTCTCAGGAGAGTTCTTCTGTATTATGTTTTCAGATTTGATTTTGTTTCCGGGCAGCTGCTTCAGAGCACAGGCAGAGTGAGCAGCATTCTGTATGTAACTGTGCACTTTTATGTAAGGCAGAATCTTGCCCGGGGGATTCACCTCCACTGGGGAGGAGAGAATTTATTGGAAGGAAAGGACAGGGACCATTTGCAGCCTGTACCTGTAAGTAGAATGGAGGAAGTGTAATCTGTGGAGACTTGGAGGACTTCCTTTCATGCAGAGAACAACATCCACCAACTTGCCTCCCAATAAATTTTCTTGGGTAGATTGGCCATTGGCTCAGTTTGGCTAGTTTTCAAGCAGGCCTGAGCACACTGTATCCATCTGTGTCACTCTCTGCTGTAGTACTGCTGAATCAGGCTGGGTTGGAAAGATTGCTTTTTTGTCATTAAGTATCGTGGTAGAGGTACTGTGAGGAAGGAGATGGGAATCAAGACCTAGTCAAAAACAGCCTACTGCTTCTGCATCTTTAAAAGAAGAGGAGGTGTAAAGCATGATTCTAATGTTCATAGTTAATCCAAATGGGTGAGTAGAATCACTGTCGTCTGTAGTTGGAAGGAACCGTAGAAGGAAAGACTGCATAAATTCTTTGGTGGATTTTTAAATTAATGTGTAGGTTGGCCACACGTTGGGCAACACCTATTGCTTTTAAATTATTCTTACAGTACCAAAATGAGCTCTTAAATTAAAAGATACATGCTTTCTTCCTGCTTGTTTCTGTTTTGTTAAAGATCTAATTTAAACAATGGCAAGATAGAAAATACTTGAAGTGCTATTTTTTTTCTAAAACTTACTGTATCATGTTAATCACAGCAGCATGTCCAATACTACTTTACTATGTCACTGTTTTCACAGACAGGAGATTGGCAATCTGTCTTTCATGTGTTCTGGGCTAGCAAGTGTTGAAAAAAAATCAAATATTAAAAGAAACATGCTCCTACTTTGCCTTTTGAAAGATAACTGACAAACATCCATCTCCTTGACTTCTCTAGGGGTAATGTGTTTAATCCTAGCATGTGGCAGTCCTCTCTCAGCAGGCTGATTTCAATATATTAACATAAACTAACATCTATTAAAATTGATTGAGCTCTGAATACTGGTGGCTGAAGAATGTAATAACTGCTTTATTTAGCTGAAGAGTTGAAAAGCTTATTTTTTCCATAGCTTGGAATTACATCTTCATTTAGGGCAACTAAATTGAGTGGGGATTATAAATGAATTTCAACTAGCTGCTGGGAATACTTAGAGAACACTTTTAGTATGAAGGTGGTTGAGCACTGGCATGGGTAGCCCAGAGGAGTTGTGGAGCCTCCATCCTTGCAAGTATTCAAACCCAGCTGATCAGAGTCCTGTCTCATTGTGCTTTGAGCCGGGAATTGGACCAGATTATTTTAACTTTAGCTATTCTGTGGTTGTGTGTGGCTTTTGTTTTGGAGGGGAAGGAGATTAGGAGCAGGCAGACAACATACCTTTCTTACCTACCTTCCACATATATATGGTGCAGACCTTGCATATACTGACATTCCTTTTTAATTAATTTTAATTTCAAAATATATTTCAGAAGCTTTTATGGACTGCAGTAACTCTAGGCCTTTTCATAACAGAGGCAGGTTTTAATGTTCAGTTGTCTGTCAGTTGGCACTAGTTCAGCTACATAAGGATTAGAATTTGTAAGATTCCCTATGTTTTTAAGAAGACCACGAACCAGGATGTCCAGAAGAATAGACTTCAGGCAGAATTTATGGTCTGTTTTGACATTTTTCTACAAATCTATCGTCCCAAATTTTGCTGAATGACAAACTGTGCTGTTCTAATCGTACAGCTACTGTGTTTTATTATACTTCATGATATTGAAGCCATTTGTCTTGTGTTTTGTAAGCCACTAGCAAAGGGATTTCCTTGTCTATTTTCTTACACAGGCAAACATGCTGAAGACATATTTGGTGAATTGTTTAATGAGGCCAACAGCTTCTACATCAGAGCAAATTCCCTCCAAGACAGAATTGATCGCCTTGCTGTCAAAGTCACCCAGCTGGATTCAACAGTGGAAGAGGGTAGGTAATTGCATGAAAGCATTGAGCCAGAAGTGATGTTGACAAGACCACAGTATTTAATTGCACAATAACCTCTGTCTTTTCAAAGTGATACTGTGCTGATATTTCATCTTGCTGTCTCAGTAAGGCAAGCTGGGAATAATCACTTTAGCAGAGCAAGTAAAAGTATTCTTGAATCAAGAAGCCCCTGTAGTAATGGAGCTGTTAAGTCTTTTTCACGAGGAAAACTTTGAGTTTGTGAATGTAGTAAATTATAAATGAATAAATATAGACCTTACTGGAAGTAAGAATATTGGGTGTCCCTGTTCAGGGTAGGGTAGTCACAAACTACGTTAGTACATTACGTACATAGTCTGTTCTGTGGTCATCAAAGATTTCATAATGCTCTGTATCTAAACAAGGCACTATGTTTGGATCAACAAGGTGAAATTCTTTAGGGGGTTCTACCCACTAGAAAACAGTATTTCCTTTAAGAATATTTCCTGCTTATAAGCTTGGTCATTCACTTCATAAATGCACATTAAAAACAAAGGAATTGAGTAATATCATTATATTGTTTGAAAGCACTTATTTGGGTAGAGTATTTCTCTGTCTAGCTTTAAAAGCTGTTAACGTGTATCTTAGCCTCCTTGCTACATGTCTGAGCTAGCCAATGCCTGTACTTCCGTTTAGATGATTCCTGACATTTACTAAAATGTAAAAGCTTTTTATATCGGTACAGTAGTGTAATATTGACTCAGTAGTAGTTAATGCTACTTATGATATCTTTATAGTGCTATTTATATGGTGTATATATTATAGTTGCCATTCAGATTTTTGTAATTTATATATTTATAGAGCCAATTATTAGAGCCAGTATTAAATTCTACTGTTGATATTTAATAGTGTAATGGTGTAATATTTAGCCTTCCTTTTTTAGCTGTTTACTGTCTGGAAATTATTATGTGTTGTTTTATGTTTTTGGAACAAATTAACTGTTAGACTATCATAGTTGCCCAGAGAAGCTGTGGATGCCCTATCTCCAAAGAAACCTGGTCAAGTGAAAGATGTCCTTGTCCAGGGTAGGGGGATTGGAATGAGATAATCTTTAAGGTCCCCTCCAAACCAAATCACTCTGATTTTTTTTTTTTTTTTGGTATAAGCACCTGCATTTTCCTGTCTTATGAATCAAAAGCTATATGGGTACATAAACTAAGCTCCTTTGGTCTCACTATTCAGCTTTGTTTTTGAGGCATATTGTGTTGGTACTACGACCAAACTAGATGATATTAATATACTGTACTTTTGGAAATGCAGTTCTCATCTTGGTTTTGCTGCTGTTTCTTCCACCCCTCCTTTTTTTTTTTTAAATGCCACATTAACGTCTCATTAGTGTTATGCAGTACCACCCAGCTAGTTTTCAGAGTTTGGAGAATAATTAAATGCAATCTTTGGAAGGGAAAGCTACTATATGGACTGAGAATTTAATCAGTGTTTATTTTAAGCTGACAGCAGTTCTTACTCTTGCATTGCTAATCATGCTTCATATTAATAAGCTGTATATACAAACTGCTGTCACCGTAGTGTCAGTAGTAAATTTTATTAGCTATTTCCCTGTAGAAGTTGAAGTCTCTATAATAATTAATTGTACTGTCAGAGATAGTACGTTTCTGGATAGCTTTGGCATTTAAGCAAAATGTCAGTTGCAAGGTTGTTTTAAAATTCCTTCAGATTTGATTGCATCAGTGATTTCTTATATTTTTAGCTATAATTAATACAGTATATATAAAAGATATTTTATATACAAAAAACTACAGTTGAAAAAACATTTTTAAAAAATTGAGATTAAGTTTTCAAAAATATATGAATAACTTATTCTAAAAATCTCCAGAAAAAGGTGTGGTTTATTCCTTTGAATGTCTTTTATCAAACAAGAATGAAGCAATTCAGATATATACATCTAAAAAATATGCCTGAAATACCTTAAGCTCAGAGGCAGGTTTAAATAGAAAGTACTTTCAAAGTTGATGTTTTGATACTTGATGATATGAATGGGGGAATGACTATTAGACATTAAATATTCTATTTTTAATTTTTTGCTATTGTAAAAATTACAGAAGAAACTAAGTAGTTCTTGGAGTGAGAAACAAGAAGTGCAGATACCAAAAATAGTTTGGCAGAGAAGTCTGAGTGGGATTTGGTGTCCATCATGACAAACAATAACAGTGTGAAATCTCATCCCTTTTTCTTTTTTCAGGTCACCAGTGTCCTACATTTTTGGCCATTACTGTTAATTTACCTTGTGAAATTTCGCACAGTTTCTCCTTGAGACTCAATAAATTAGATGAATGGGCAAGAAACATTAGGTGAAATGTCAATGGGAATAAAAAGATACTAACTCAGTGCATTTTGTGCACAAGGCCTACAGCTTACACTGTTATAAAACACTTGGATCAAATCCAGAAGTGGTCAGAGTCACTGTAGACAACCCAGTGAAGACTTCAACATCCTCTTCAACTGTAGTCGAAAACCTGTATTTTAAGGTGCTTAGGGTGGAAGATGATATTAAGAGCTTACTGCCACTTTTAAATTGTGATTGGCCTGTAACTGTATCTTCTTTAGCAGTGTTTGCTGCATCTCATGAAAACTTGTATTAAGAGTGAAAGAAAGTCTTTATAAAAGTGACAGGAACAATTAAAACAAACTTCAGTGTTTCATTTGAAAAGAAAGAATGAAAAGCCCGGTGTTTTCCCCAGAGCTGTGAAAAGATAAAATGAAAGTACGAGAGTGCAGGTATTTCTCTCTGTAGAGACATGATCAAAACTTAAGAGCAAGGGGTGTTTAGTTAAATGGGAAGACATAGGAGTTGAAGGAGAGTAAAATAAGTGGAACTCTGTCTCTCACAGGAGGTCGTTGCAGCTGTAATTTAATTATATTTAGAATGGGCTGGAATGTGTATTGATATACCATGTGCAATTATAAAACACACGGTGTCAGAGGAATACCAGACGGTGTGTTTCAGTCTTGAAGCTAGTCTTTCTGCCATTAGAACTCCAGGATAAACCCTATAAAAAGGGAAAATGGTTGGACATCTGTATGTGACAGCATTCTTGCATCAACTTCCAAGATACAGTCTATGGTCCCATTATTTTAAGTGAGGTTCTGAAGCAGGTGACACTTAAATCTGTTTTATTATGGTAATTCTTACATGCCTTTGCACTTAAATATCAGGATTATCCACCAAGGAAAAAAACAGTCTTTCTTTTAACTTGCTGAATATATTTCAAATAATTAGTGAAAAATGGATGTTGTGTATCCACTTCCATTCGTTTCAGACCTGTGGTAAATGTCCTTCTGTTTCTAACAGTATCCTTACAGGACATCAACATGAAAAAAGCATTCAAGAGCTCAACAGTTCAAGACCAGCAGGTAGTTTCAAAGAACAGCATTCCGAACCCGGTGGCTGATATTTATAATCAAAGTGACAAACCACCACCTCTGAACATTCTTTCACCTTATAGGTAAGGAAATATTGATTGTTTACCTTCTTGTACTTTGCCCTTTATTTCCTAATTGTGTGCAGAGAATAATTATAGCAGAAGGGAAAAGTTATACTGATTATTGAGATTCGATTTTTCAAGATTGATAAAACTCAATGTGCAATAAATAATTTATTTCTTTTTTAAGAACGGTATAGCACGGCATTTGAAGTGTATTTAATTTTTTAAAATGCTTAATTGGCAGGTAAATGTGTAGGATTTACAACAAAGGATGTGTTTTTGCTGCTGCTTCAGACAGTGGTGGTATTTTGACATCCAGTTAGGAAGGGTTGTTATTGATCAGCTTGAGGCTTGGATGATCATCAAAGGTAAGTTTTCTGGATTTAAAACATACTAATTCATGTATTTTTAGCTTTTCTTCTGCTGTTTTTCCAGGGATGATAAGAAGGATGGATTGAAGTTCTATACTGATCCTTCCTATTTTTTTGATCTTTGGAAAGAAAAAATGTTACAAGATACTGAAGATAAGCGAAAAGAAAAGAGGAGACAAAAGGTAAAAGCAGCAACACAATAGCACATTTGTGCATTACAATTTTATGTGCAGTTGTCCAGGCATAAAAACAGCCACATCATACTTGGTTTGTGTGCATGGAAAGATTGTTCCTCTTTGTGTGGCTGTAGATTCAGTGCATTCCATTTGTATAGCTTATCCTGTCTGTTTTAAGAAGGCAGCAAATTGAATTTTAGGAGTGCTGTGGTTATTGCTTTCTTGAATCCTTTGCCAGTATCTGCTTATTGGTACCCAGAAAAATGGCCCTGTTGTGCTCCAGAAAAAGACATTGTAATGGGAGAGGAAAGGAATTGGAATTAGAGTTTTTTCCATTCCAATTTCCCTTTTTTTCCATTCTGATTTTAAAGGAAAAATACAGATACTTTTATAAGAAGTTATAAAATCGCTTGAACATTTCTTTATTACTTTAGAACAATTTCTAAAAAACTGTATATGTAAGTTACTTTTAGACTTTAACTTATGCAACACATCCTGCTTATTTCCATCCATTGTATATTTTTTGAAGATTTTAATTGTCTTATTGCAGTCTACAAATGTAAATACACTCAATTCCAATCATGTAGGATTATAGCCATACATCACAGAAATATCCTTTCATAAATTCTAGCTGAAGTGCTATTTGGTTTGGTTAAATATATACCAACTAAGAAGAAAGCAGCATAGACTTGAGTTTGCTTGGATAAAGTTCACTTTGTGATGGGAAGAAATCTCAGGTTTAGCTTTCCAGAAGATGCTTTTCAAGCATTTCATGATCTGGGTCCTTTAGAGAGCAGGATAGTTTGGGTGAGATGTCTCCCAGGCACACTTTGTTCCACAGGTTGCTGAACCGAATGCCCTTTTTCTTTTGTTCTTGTCGTTATGGTAGAAGTAACCAGGAATGAATCCAGAGCATTTATTAACAATTTGATAGCTGGACTTAAATTTTCAATCTATTAAATGAGAATTCTTTACTCAATTTGTACTCTACAGAAGCACAAAACTTGATAGTTGTTGAGAAACTGCTCAGATGAAATAAACATGTATTGTTTAGCAAACTACAAGCTAGACATCCAAATGCCATTCTACTCAGCTGACCAAGCACAGCTAGTTTTTAGCCTCAATTTTTCAGGTGCTTGTTGAAATTTGAGAGTAGTCTCTGCACCAGAGAATCAATTTTTTCCAGTATTTGCTAATTTGCCCTAAGTGCTCGGGCAGTTGCAACCGGAGGTTTCTGAGGAGTTTAATTTTCTTGCCTCAAATACTATGCTTTTTGTTTCTGTATACAGTTTAATTGAAGATACCTCACAGGCTTCAACTGATTTGGCTCTTTCAAGTGAACTTTTTTTCTGAAGAAAACGACAATTTTAATTCTTTAAGTTTAAAATCTGTGTAGTCTGTTTTTTTGCTTTCTGTAGATTGGTATCTGAGAGTTCAGTGTAGTTTTGACTTGGTATGTATTGGTAGTATTCTAAATTGAAATATGTCGGTAGGGCAGTTGTGATTAAACAAAGGAAAGTTGTTCTAATTTGCTCTTTATTGTTCTGGCTTTTTATCTGAAAGTAATTAGCTATTCAAGCAAGTAAAATTTTTAAATTTGGAAAGCTTGTATTTTAGAAGTCATTCTTGATGACTTGAGTTTTGATAGGATTTTAGAAATTTGTGGTCAGAAAAATAATCCAGGCTCGTGCTTCCAGTTTTTTGAAAGTATTGCAAATACTTGCTGAAGCTGCTTTTTTTTACTAGCTCTTAATTCTTTATTAAGATGTTTGCAATACCATTTGCTAATTCTTGATGTAAATATCAAACTTGCAATTAACTCAACCCTGTTTGAAGGCTCTAATGTTTTGTGTTTGCTGAAATAATTTCCTGCCAACATGAATGATGTACATGTTTTCTGGCTTAATCTATGGCACCCACTTGTCTGCCACAGCTTCTATTACAGTTAGTTTAAAAAAAAGTAACTCCTCTTAATATTACTTTAATTTTCTGAGAAATATTTCCAGCTCTAATTATCTAGAAAAGCTTCAACTCCCCGTCAAGTCTGTAATCTTTGCCCTGGGTAGGAAAGCTAGAGCTGTCACCATTGTCAGGGGAATGAAACTGCTACTGAAACAACTTAAAGCTACTCTTACAGGTATATGTAGCTTTGTCAGTTGCTAGGAATAGGGCTGCCCCACTGTTTTGGAAGACAATTTAATGTTTTAGAGATGTATTGATATAATGTTTAATCAAAATATCACTACCAGTAGGATTTAGTACTGCTTGAGTAAAAAGGATTCAAGTGTATTTATTTATTAGCGTGCTTATAGATGCTGGTGTGGAACAACCTGTCCAGTTGAAATCTGATCCAATTAAAACCAGCTAAGCTTTGTGAGGTTTTTTTTGTTGTTTATACATCCATATGTCTTTACCTTTTCATTTAAAAAAAAAAGTGATCTCTTTAAACTTCTAAATAGTAAGCAGTAACTGTAAGCAGTTATATAAGCACTCATGATTGTACAGGAATTGTATCAAAATTATTTTCTTCCCAGTAGCATCATATATTGGTCAAAAGGTGGATATTTATTTTGTTTAGAATCTTGCAAGAAATATGTAGTTGTGACCCCTAGATGACAAAATTGTTGTTCTGAAAGAAGGCAAAACTAAGTGTTTTCAGTGAAAAGGCTTACTTGGGCTTTCTTATGATATATAACATGATTCAGGTAACAAAATCTTAAGAAATTATTTGAGATGAAAGTCAAAAATTAAAAAAAAACAAAATACTTGCAACAAGTAATTGAGAAAGCTGAAAAGCTTTTAACAAGCATATATTCAGCCATGACAATTAGCAAATGTTTATATATTTAAAATAAAGCATGACTGAATCTGTGTCCTTTCTGCTCCAAATCTTGTATTGGCAGAATTTGTTGTGAAAAAGTGGTTATTAGGCATAAAAAGGATGTGATTCTAAAAGGTTTATGGAGGGAAAAATATATTGGAAGAACTGATTAAGAACCAAGATGATCATTGTTATTTAACATAAATCAGACCAAAAATCTGTTTACTGTAGAAATGAGCAAGACTTGTCGAAACATTTGGGTGTTGAACTTCAAGAAGTCTCTTCTCTCATTCTAAATGTTAGCAGGGTCAGCAGGTCTTTCATGCTAATGTGCATGAGCAAGCAAGAGATCCAAAACAAGGGCAAGTAAGCCATTTGATAGTTTTTTGTTAGTTATATGATGTCTAACACATTATTTCAGAATTATTTACTCAGTGCTGTTTGACAGTTGGAGTAAAAAAACCTGTGTTCATCTGTGATGGACTTTTTGTTGAGCTGGCTTTCCTGCTATTATCCCTTATTTTGGGGGTCTAGATTCCCCAGATAAATGGCTTGCCTACCAGAATTTGACCAAGCTCTTATCTCAATACAATTCATTGACTGCATTCTCAGAATAGCAGTGTCATTCTTTCTGAGAAACTATTTTTCTAGCAGCCAAAAGCCTAATACCAACCAACTAATAGATAAAACATGTATTCTAAGGTGTGGGCTCTAGAGCTGATTGAAAAAAAAAAACCCTATGCTCTCATAAATACTGAGAAAAGGAGTAGCAGACCCATCTCAGTCTGAATTGAGCAGTCTTCTTCATTTTTTGTGATGAAGCACCAGTATGTAATTTATATTCATACTGAGTAGTCAGGAGGAGGTTAGTACATTTCCAAGATGTGAAAGCATTGTGTCCCAATATTAGGAGATCTTGCTATCAGTGATATAAAGATAAATAGGTGTGATAAACACTGACATTGGTTGAGCCTGATGTTACATTGAAAGATATAAACAGCCAAGTTTGTCATGAACCTGTCAAGCTGTAATGTACTGCTGGCCTGAGTATTTACTAACTCACCGCATCAAGAATTAGTGCAATTAATTTTTATATCAGAGAACAGGAAACAAAGATGAGGAGATACTAGGAGGATTTTCAGTAGTTAATTTGCTCTAAGAAGAGAGAGGAAGGTAAAGCAAACAGAAATAATTTCACATAGATTATGGAATGTGTCCAATTTCTCCATACTTGCCCAGGCCCTGTTGATTGTGACCATAATGAATAACCAGGATAGCCTCGAGCTTATTTAACGTTCTCAGAAGTCTAGTATTCAGGAGAGGAAAATTACACGTGCTTCAGGGTGGTCTAAGTAAAAGATTTCAGAGGAAGTTCAACTTTCTGGCTTTCAAAATTGGTCACATTACTGTATTAGGAAAACCAGGAGATTGGCATCACAGTAGCACATGCGTCCTACAGAACAAAGGCAAATCAAGAGTCCTGCTACCAGTGAGGTTCCTAGTGTAAGGAGATATTCTTATTTTCAGTGTAGAGAAATTTTATGAAGACTTGGCTTCATCTGTAAATCTGGTCTTATTTTCATGCACTCTAACTGCATTTTAACCAGCTTTTTTCCTTTCCTTTTTTCTCTCTCTTTGCATGCTTTATTTCTTTTGTTTGGACATTAGGAACAAAAGCGTATAGATGGCACCACCCGTGAGGTGAAAAAGGTTAGAAAAGCCAGGAACAGACGCCAGGAGTGGAATATGATGGCATATGACAAAGAGCTTAGACCTGACAACAGGTTGTCTCAAAGTGTGTACCATGGAGCATCTTCCGAGGGATCACTGTCCCCAGATACTAGGTCTGTTTACAGCAAAGCTGTTTGTTATACCACAGTTGTATGTTCAGCAATACTGAGTAGAATTAGGTGTTCTTACAGGATGGGAATAGTTAGACAAGACATATAGTGCACGTTTAAAACACTCTTTTCAAATTTATTTTAAAGCATAAATGACATAACAGATTCTGTAATGGTTTTTTTCTTTCTCAGCTTCACATGAGGATTTTGTCATCATAATGTTATTTATTGCAGAGAAAGAAGTGTTTGCTGCATGATTTATCTTTGATCTTCGGTAGCTGTAGCTGCAAAGCATTTAAGCCTCTACTAGATAATGTCAGTAGATCTTCCTTAGTGTCTAGTTTTTTGTTTGGTGCTCTGCTGGTAGCTTAATAAATATTTTTCTGTGATCTACTCAGTCGAGAATACTTTTGCCTATAAAGAATGCTTCAGTGGGAGAAGAGTTCAGCTCTTTGATGTTATGTGAGTCTGAAAAGCAAGCTACAAAACCAGATGAGATGTTACTGCTTGAAATAACAAAAATGTCTGCTTAGAGATGTGCAGCAGAATTCATTTTCATTGACTGAGATTCCCTTTGAGCTCAGTGGGAGTTACCTGAAGTGCATTGAAGTCTTAGTTTTTGCACTAAGCTGGTCTCACCAGAGGATTTTCCCTCTTTATTTCCTATGTCTGTTGTGATTAAGTGCTAACAATAAACATAGAAATAAGTAAAATCCACTGAAAAAAAATGTTTAAATTGTTGAATGGCTAGGTTGAGGAGGCAGCTACCACTGCAAGTGTGTGGACTGATACCTTTAGTCCACTGTCCAGTGGAGGTTATTTTAAAAGAGAAGAAATCTGCTCAGAACTTTGTAATGTTGTGGTCTTTGTGAAAAGTAGTGAACCTGCAATTGAAACATAGTATTTGATATTGCTATTGGTCTTTCACTAATGTATTTAGACTCCCTCCCTGTCTAAAAACTGTTGTTTGGTTGGTTTTATTTCACAGTTTATAATGCAAAACTTTTGTCTCCTATTAGTCTTAATGAAACACTGCAGACTGATAAAGCTTTACATAGGTTAATATAGTAAAAGGTGTGGATTTTTTCATCAGTAGTTCTGTTTCACACTTTTTGAGTCTCTTTCTTTTTCAGATTTAATACCTTGCTTCCAGGATTCCTGAATTTAAATTATAACGAAATGATTTGTCTTTATCTTCCAGCAATGTCAACATGTCTTTGGCTGTTGGCAGATATCTGTGGTATTTGCAATATGTGGGATGTTTTTAAGCAGAAATTGTAGGATGCATCTCTATGTTGAATTTTGATGTTGTTTGTGTGACAGATGCCTTGTATTTACATAAGCCTTTTATATTTTATAAATTAATGGAGTATTTTACATTTCAGTGAATTAAATATCTGAGATTGAGTCCTGAAATCTGTGTTACATCCATGAAGGGTTAATTCTGAGAATGATAGTGAGGTGGAGAGATGGCTTTTTAATTTTTTACCATGGAGTAGTCTAGAGCTTGAACCCATACTTATAGAAGTATGTACTGGTTTGAGAGACATTTTCATGCTGCCAGCTACTGCAGGAGCAGTATTTTGTAAATCAGGTCCCAAAGAAGTGTATTTGGTTATACTATGGTTTTTTTGGTTTTTTTTTTTTGTTTGTTTGTTTGTTTGGGTTTGTTTGTTTTTTCTTTTTTGTTTGTTTGGTTTTTTTTACTGCTAAAGTAAAAGAAAAAATGGTCGTATTTCTTCTTGTTTGCTAATTGTAAGACCTAAGCATTAAATGTTGACGTCCCAGTGGTTGGTCTCTGATAATTTACAATGTATTTGTTATACTTATTATACTTTAGAGAGAGAAACACAAGCTGAATCCAAACAGAAACCAGCAAATTAATGTGAGAAAAGTAAGAACAAGAAAAGAAGAGTGGGAGAGAAGGAAAATGGGCATTGAGTTCATGAGTGACGCAAAGAAAATGGAACAGGCAGGAAGCATGAAAGAGGACAAAATGCCCAAAGGGTTTGTTATTTTGTTTTGCTCAAAGCCCTGGCTTTTTGTTGCTTACCTTGCTTCCAGTCTCACGGATAAGTGCATCAGTTCACTGTGTTCACTAAAAGGCAGGCTGCACCATTGTTCATTACTAAAACAAGTCTTCACAGTAATGGGATGAAAAGATCCTTTTGCTCCCTCTCTTGGGCTTATTTGACAGAGCATCCTAGACTTTGTATCTTTATGAACTCTCTGCTCAACTAATGCTTAAATTTCCCAGTTTCATTAAGCCTTTCCAACAAAATTAATTGTGCAAACAAAAAGCATTTTCTAACTTTTGAAATTGGTTTTCTCTGCATTGGTAAAATATGTTCTTCTGCGTAATTGCAAGTGCTTGCGGTATTGCTTTTCTTTTTTTGCTACCATTGTTAACTTGAAGCAGGCTGGTAAGTATTATCATTTCAAACAATGGACTGTCAAAATCAATTGACAAAAAACCATAAGCTTCCTTATGGCTACTAAAATTCTTGTGCTTTCTGTGGACTTAAAAGGGAGTGGTGCTTGATAAATTGGGGAATCCCTCTTGCAAGAAAAATAATGCTGATTGTATTCTTTTTAGCTTGTTTTGTCAGTTTAGATAATGCCGTGTTAACACTCACATAATCTGTTCTGCATCAATTTACTTGAATTTTAGGTCCCATGCATCTGATGTTACAGATTATTCTTATCCTGCGACTCCGAATCATTCCCTCCATCAGCAGATAGCAATGCCTTCCTATGGAGCAGGAGATGGTCCACAGTACATGGCAGCATCCCAAAGCCACGAGCATGAGTACAGACCACCCTCCACCACTGTGCGACACGCCACTTTAAACAGACCTCAGCAACCGCCTCCACCGCCACCCCAGCCTGCAGATGGCCAGCACAGCTCAGTACCTGTGGTGCCAGCAGAATATGGGTAAATCTCATTGATTCTTGGCACAGCATGTTTTTCATAACCATCGTAATGTGTAATGCATCAAAGAAAAGATCCCCAAATACATTAGTTATCCCTTTGGGGAGGACAGAAAAAAAACTGGTATAATTTCTATGCATAAACTGAATTTAAGTGAAGAAATAGTGAAAGCAGAAATAACCAAGTTTGTATTAAGTGAAATGTGTATTGGTGAAGTCAGTATGATTGTAAAATATTAAGGGTGCTAATACAATATTGAAGAAGGGATGGTTTTCATTTCAAGTGGAAAGTAGTTACAGGATAATGTGGATAATATTTTAAATTTCAGGAAATGTGCAGAAAGAGTATTGTTGATTTTGATTAATCTGGCAGTCTTTGTTGCATCCCTGAAATGCCTTTTTAGAGAAGCTTGTGACAGAATTGGAAGGGGTCCCCTCAGATACAAATTCCATACTGCCTCAGGAGGAATGCCAGTTTTTAATTCAAGACAAAGATTTATCAAACGCTTGTGTAGATATTTTGCCTGAATGCATTCTAAGGGAAGGCTTGCTCCAGAGTTCTGGTTCTCCTGTAGCAAGATAACATCTGTTTTCTAATAAGTCTGTCTGTTCTTTTGTGTAAATAGCTAAAACTTTAAAGTTGTAACACCAGGAAAGTTGTAGTCATTCTTGCCTGCATTGTTTTTTCTACTGTGCAAGCCAAGGTTTGTCGTCCTTGCTTGTAGCATCCTGGGATAGCATTTGCCTGATTCATGGCTATCGTGCTGCAGATGACTCAGTTAGGAGTGACTGCTCCAGCCTGCCCTTTCTCTTTTGTTTCCAGTGTCTAAGGCATTACTGTGCTTAGTCCTCAGGTCCATGACCATTGTTAAGGTGTTGCAGTTGTCATACACTGGCATGTGTCACTCAATGTCATCAGTCACTTTGCTTCAACTCCTGTCTCCTATATCTAATTCTTTACCTACTTCTTACCCTTATCAATTCTCAATTTTCTTCTGATTAAGATTTCTTTGAATGACATTTTAACAAAGAAATGAGCTCTTCCCTGTGCCTCCTATTTCAAGAATCAATCAAATGTATCAATTTAATTAAATGGTATTTAAACTCATAAATTTGACCGAAGAAGCACATGAGATACATTTACCTTTGGGTAAATCTTTCCTTTCATACTTTCCATTGTTCTCCATGTCTGTGTCCTCTATTACCTCTTGACCTTCTATGGAATTGAAGGGTGTAGTCTGCAGTTTTCTTAGCCCTTTTTTCATCAAAGACTTTGTACTTAACAGTCCCACAGAGTAGATGTTTAATAAGAAATGTAGCTTTATACTTGACAGGAGAATTAAGATACAAAGCTCACTTTGTAGAGTGCTGAAAGGATATTGCCTTTAACTTCAATATTCGTCTTAAATCTCAATATATCAGCAATATTTCACAATTCTTACATGTATAATCATTTGCGTATATAAGTCAGTTTAAATTGCTTTTTATTTTTGTTTTACATGAGATTGGATAAGTGCAGTTTAAGGGGCGATAATTGTGTAAGTCCTAACTTTGAATGCATTAAATGTTTTTGTTTTGTTTTATATAGGATGCTCCCAGCTCAGATGGTGGATTATTACAATCCTACAGGTCCTCCCCCTCCTCCTCCTCCCCCTATGATTCCTTCAGCACAAACTGCATTTGTTAGTCCCCTTCAGCTTCCTGTGCCACCTTCCCATTCCGGACTGGTGACTGGCTCTACATATGCAGCTACTCATCCTCCTCCTTCTAGTGGGCTTGTTGTCACTGCTCCTCCTCCTCCGGGCCCACCTCCTCCCCCTCCAGGCCCTCCTGCTGCAGGTGCATCCCTCTCTTCCTCCCCCATGCACGCTCCTCCAGCGTCGGAGGCGAAGCAGGCACCGATGAGCGATGCACGGAGTGATCTTCTGGCTGCCATCAGGATGGGTAAGTGCACACTGAGCTTTAGGCATTCCTTTTTTTTCAGTGAGAGAACAGTGTTTTCCACTGAAATGAGTTTATGGCTTCTTTTCCCAGCTGGGCAGATTTCATTAACCACAAGTACCACACACCTGTCTGACATTTGTCAGCCATGAGGTTGGATCATTATCTAACAGCTAAAGATGCACAGCTTTGTCAAGCGTGTTCTAGTGTTTGTGTGGATATAATCTAATGAACGTAGCACTTGTATTCGTTATGTCAAGTGCCAGTAGATGTACGTGGATTTTTGCTTCTCTTCAGAAGAACTGAATTACCCAACACCAGGCTTCAGCCCACTGATGTTTTTAACCAGTGACTCACAGCTCTTCCTGACCTCGCTTACAATGTGGAGCTGTAGGTCTGATAGTATTTCCAAACACAGTTTTGAAAACTTTCATCTTCAGATCAAAATGACCTGTACAGTCTTGAATATTTAGTTTCAACACATTGTTGACAGTTTTAGAAGTCCAGAAGTACTCATTCTCTGAGAATTATTTCCCATCTGCCTTTTTTGCCTTTCTCTCTTCCTTGCTCAAGGAGGCTCTCTTATCTTAATGCTCACTTTCTCTTTCCCCTCCTTCCTGAGTATTTTGTGAGAATACAGCAGACTCACCAACAACAGTGTAAAATACAAAATCCCTTGGCTGGAAAGCTTTGTCTGAGGGCAATTGTCTCTGCAGGAATTCAGCTGAAGAAGGTGCAGGAGCAGCGTGAGCAGGAGGCGAAGCGCGAGCCCGTTGGCAATGACGTGGCCACCATCCTGTCGAGGCGCATTGCCGTGGAGTACAGCGATTCCGACGACGACTCGGAGTTCGATGAGAACGACTGGTCAGATTGAACGTGGTCCAAGCCTGCTGGCAACTACATTAAATACTTGGCTTCAGTGATTGCTTTGTTAGCAAGATGTAAAGCAGGACGTTGACGTGTATTAAGGGTAGTAAGAGAAGTGCTAAAATTGAATTGGTATTATTCAGAACGCTGTAGCTTAGCAACTCTGGTAATAATGATGTGATTATGCTTATGCAGATCAGAAACTTGTCTTACTTTCAGTATTTACTGCATAATACTTAAGTGCCACTAAATGTAGCAACTTGTGCTGCGTGCAAAATATGCTGCAGTTGTTGCACTGTTACAGAACCAGCATTTTATTTTACTTTCCTGTTCTTGAAGGGATAAAATATATTTTTTTGACTTTACATCTTATTCTTTTAATTATGTAAGCAACTTAGATACTTGTGAATTGGTCTGGTTGTTAGTCTTTGAGAACAGCTAACTGTATGGCTGAGTGAAATGTTGAGTTCCATAAATATGACTTCTAGCTTTTTTATTAGGTACTAATTATGCCCACCTTAGTCTATTTTTAACCACTTCTGGGCTTGAGTTTTTATGCATACAGAATTGATTTTATACTATCTTCCTTTTTATCTTAAAAATGTAGCAGATGAGGAAATGTATACTTTGAAGAATGAACCCACATGATCAAAAAAGAATATTTGGTGAGCAGACAGGATATGTCTGTAACAGTACCAGCTCTAAGTTGCTGGCTGCTTGTTGGGAAGAGCGTTGGGGGGTCTCTGTTGTGTGGCAGATGCATGTCCGTGCTATAAATGAAAATGAAAATATCTGTAGAGCTTTTCAGTCTTATGATAAGATCAGCTGGATGCAGGATAGACCTGATGGAAACCCTGTGGCTGTTGCAGTACAGAAATGCTACTGCTGTTACTAAAAACTGGAACAATCTGGATCTAGCAATCAGATACATTTCACAAGTATTGGTCTTTCTGCCTGTCAGTAAAAAGTGTGTAAATAAGTTCAGTTGTTGTTGAGTTATACATGTGTAGTCATGTAGCACATTGACTCAGAATTCTTACTTTGAATGTATTTCTTTCCCAGTACATCCCATGGATAAAACACGGGCAGTTAAAGCAGTTTTGATGGCTGTTGAGGTTCTATGCCATATATATATATATACACTCACTTTCTTGGTATTTTCCTAGGCATAGTTGCTGCCATGAAGTCTGCTTTGACTGTCTCTGTTTTCCTTGTTTTCCTTTTTTTTTTTTAATCATCAGTACAGTATTAAAATGGTTTGTTTTGTTTTGTTTGTTTTCTGGACCAAGAGTCAGGCTGCTGCTTTGCCTAATGAGGCTTTTAAATTTTATTCATAGCAGGGGAAGAGTTCTTTCCTTACCAGATTACTGTTACGATCTTTGTAACAGAAGTCTGTTTAATTCCAGGTCTAGCATTTGGTAAACCTCCTTTGTTCTATGAGGCTCCCCGGTCTGTTCTTAAAAGAAGTATGTAAAATAAAAAGAGAAATGGAAGGTGATTATCTAACCTGTGTTTACAGCATTAACAGTTTTAGTCCTGAGAATGTAACAGTCTAACACGATGTTTGCATGCGAACTGTTGGCTACTGCGTTGCTGTTTAATCTGCATATGATTTTTCAATCTGTGGTGGCCGCCTTTATGGTAGAGGGATAATGTGCTGCTTCATGGCTGGTGTTAAAATTTATCACACGAAGTATGACCAATCTCTGCATAGTGTTGAGCAACTGCAGCTCTTGGTAACCAGAGGCAGCTGAAGGCACTCACTGATTTCCGTCCCAGTTGGAGCTGGTTTTGTCTTTGCCTTAAACTGCAGAGCTCAAGTGTGCTGTATTTTGTGTCCTGGAGTCTGAGGTCTCCCCACCAGGGAGGACAGAATTTAGGCTGTAGCCTGATGGTGGCTTTCATCACTGTCTGGGAGATGGCTTGTCCTTACCATCCTGGTGTGTTTGAGCAGTGGCCTGCAAAATGATTCTCTTCAGGCAGCTGAAGGTGCAACTGGGACCTCAGTGTTACGTCACTGCACAGGTGGTGAGAGCACTCTCGATGTTCTTTTGATACGTGCTGAAATGAAATGTCTCAGCAGAAAATTCTTTCCAATCTACTGAAATTTGATATCACAGAAGATATATTTTCTGAGCACAGAAGTTGGGTGTCTGAAATTTTGTAATTTTTGCTTATTTTAAATAATAAGCATTAAACAAAGCAATCAGTTGTGACCAGTGAAGATAGTGTAGATTTTTCAGTCATAGTAGCCAACCTGTTTTTCTGAACCTGCAATGTTGTCATTTTCCTTTTGGTATTTTATGGACAAAATGTGAATTGAATTTAGTGATGTAAACACTATTCTAGGCTGTTTTTATCAGTTTTATCATACTTCGGGTTGTGCATAAGTAACAAATATGAATAAAATCTCACTTTTGAGACTGTGTTTCTTTCCTTAGATTAGTAAAATTTTGCTGTTGATCTTTATTTTAACTTACCAATAACAAAGTGAAAATGTAAGGCTTCCAAATGCTATCTCTGATCCCAAGGCATGATGTTCCTGGGATGAAGGATGGAGTCTACAAAACCAGATTCCCTTGAGGTACTGCTGTTCCTGCTAACATCCATGCTTGGTTCTTCTGCAGCCTTGATTCAAGCTCCAGGTTCCTGGGCTGTTCTATGCAGGTATGAATTTCCCTACAGGTAGCTTTAGGGATTATTTTCCTAGTGAAATGCATTAAATGCCAGCTTTGCTTCCAGAAAGAATAAGGCAGAAAATACAAGTTATATCAGTAAGTCTTTCCCACTTTTTTAAGAAGTTGTCTTTGTAGGTTAGTGACACCCAGCACAAAACTGTTAAATACAAACCCGTGTAGGCCTACTAGAAAAATACTTTAAATTTAATCTTTTAATTGTAATTAGATTAAAGTCAGGAGAAGATTTTCATCTGACTAAGAAGAACTTATATAGACCAATTGTGTAATATAGTAGCTCAATTGTAAATTAAACAGATTTGTTTTTGCATCTTAGACTTGGTTGTTTCTTGGGAAAATAATCTTTATTCTGTTCAACTGAAGACCCCAGTACCTCTGGTGCTCAGTTCTTACTTCTCTCAAATTTCCCACTTTTTGATTTGAACTTAATTCAGATAATTTAAAGCACAATTCTTAGACACCAATTCTACACAGAAACTGAATATGCAAGCTTGATTTTTTTTTTTTGGTTAAAAGATTCTCTTAGTAAAGCATTTATAACTGCTGCTTGTAGCTCAGTTGGAATTAGGACTGATGGTCACTCAGCATGCTGCTTCCACAGCTTTTGTGGTTGTCTTTTGAATTTTAAAGAATTTTCACGGAACTGGACTGAACAGGATTTTTGGGTATTTGAGATTACTCTTTACCAAGATGAATGGAGAAGAAAAACACCTTTACTGTAAGGGGGGATGCGTTGTGTTGAGAACTGGCTCCAAATTGAGCTCATTTGCAGTATTTAGATGGAGTTTGGAGGAAGTGAAATGTCTCCTTAGGAAATCGGTTCTTTATGTATTTTTCAGCTATGTTCTCTCTGCTGTGCTGGGCACTGTTTTAATAATGAAGAGGTGTTCTTTTCCCCTTGACACAACATACCTAAGGGTACAGCAAAGATGTAGTTCCTAAAAATGTTTAAAATCTCACAGTAAACTGAACTGAGTGTAAGCCTGATAATAATGAAGACTTCATTTGAATCTTATGGCTGGAAGCTGAAGTTGTACAAATTAAATTTTGAGCTGAGATATTAGTTCCCAGCCAAGAAATAAAATAAATATTAGAACAGGTTATCCAGAGATTATTTTTTAGAGTGAATTTTCTTTAAAGTGACATTACACATTTTTTCCTTCTGCAAAACCAAACAAATTCAGCCTGCTGTAGTCTGCTTTGGGGAAGATTACTTGCTCTCTGGGGGTGTGGATTTTTACTTCTAGTCTGAAGCATTCCTGGGAAGAGTGAGTCCATACATACATTGATTCAAGTCCGAGGATTTCTTGCATATTGAATCAGATCTTCATTCAGGTACTAAAACATTGAGGGTGATATATAGGGAATAAAAATAAACTGTGATCCCTGCTAGAATCCCTCAGGCCCTGGTGTCTGCCACAGAAAAGTCATGAGAGACTTGAGCTTATCACTGAACACTGAACACCCTTACCTTGGACTTTAAAGGAAGCGTGGCTACTCCAGAAGGAATGTGGTTTCCCAATTGACCACCTTTCATTAAAAAAAAAAGAGAACAAGAACACTGAGAAAAAAGTCCTTTAGGTACAAAACAGGGGAAGCAATTTCGTTATCTTGCTTTCTCTCCTAACAGGCAAAGAATCTGTTTTCATGTGCTGTCAAGTCTCTGTAGGTTTCTCTGGAGAAATGCGTTCTCATCTATGGGTGGCATAGATGGAAAGCACTCTCAGGTTTGTGCTGGGCTGGGCTTTTCAGCTACATAAGAAGACAAGTTGCCCCTAAGATTCTTAGCTAAATATAGTAGTCTCTTGGAGATTATTCTTACTGATGCAGGTGAATAGAGAACTTCTTATCTGATTAGCCAGAGTAGGGTGGAGTTCTGTGCTTTTCTCTTGTCAAGGGGTTATGTGTAGAGTAATTTGGAGATTAGAGCTGAGGACAACTGTTTTGAGATGTGTCAGCAGCTTGTCTTAAGGGTGCTGCCTTTCTGAGTCACTCGGCATTTAAATCGCTCTGTGCTGTCGAACCACGTGAAACTGCTCTGCTCAGCAGTCACTCATTGCCAGTCTAGTGTAGGACAGAGGAGGGAAGAGCGGCCTGGGAATCTGCCCGAGTTACCCTAATGCCAGTTAATAGTGGACAGCCTGTCCTCTGCTTGGGGCACCAACCCCAGCTACACCGAAGGGGGTGGCAGAACTCATCTCTTTTCTCGATGCCTGGAAATCAGGTGCTCTCTTGGTATCTGCCAGTGCTGATGCATTTTTCAGTCAAGTTTTCCTGAGTCATCCTGCTGTTAATGTTTGATTTCACTAGTGAGTTTAACTTTCTAGTCCCTTACCATTTACCTTCTCTACTTTCTGAATGGCCCATGCCTACTCTCTGTCACCCTTCACAAACTGAATGCTGTCACCAGCCATGGTGGCAAGTGCCCTTGCTCTCCTGAACTCCACAGCCCAGCATGGGCTGTCACCTGCAGCCTGTCCCTCTGCCTCCTCCTCTCCTGAGTCTCATTCTCCTGGTTTTCAGTAGATGCTTTGCACCTTAATTACCAGCCAAAGATATTCTCCTTCCCTGTTTCAGCAGGACCTGTGGTTTGGTTGGTTTCCCTTGGGTAGATCTGAGTGTGCTGGTACCAGTGGGTATTAAAAGGGGTGGTGTTTCAGGGCACAGGGATTTTCCTCTGCATGGAGGAGGATGATGGTAGTGGGATTATTTATCATAGTCACACTTCACCACTAAGCTAAACCTTTCTAAAGTTGCTACTTATCCCAACCATCTGAGGCCTCACCTTAGCCTCACTTGAGACACATTTGTTCGTATTCATTTTTTCTGGTCTGGTTTTGGGGTGTTTGAAGCTATACCTGCAGTGGTTTGTTATTCTGTTTTGCTCATGTTTCCTTCCAAATTTAGTACACTTCTTAAAACTCTTCTTAGGTTGCCTTCACACAGCTGGGTACATTGCTTATGGTTGCCATTATGTTGTAACCATTATTACTGTCTTTGAGGAAGAAGGATTTTTGTTTGCTTCATGTGCTCAGAATGACAACCAAAGTAATGCTTTCAAGGATGGCTGTTAAAGTTTCCCTATAAATTAATTTCTACATACTTTGTATTTATGGCACATTTTGCCGTAACAAAGGCTTAGAAGTTTTGCTTACAGCAGATGGTAAAGTTTTTGTATTGCTGTGAAGAACTTGTGTATAGGTTCATTAGAATACTTAATCTGACGGTGTCAAGACTCTTAAGATGTATAATATGTGCAGTGCTGTGCTGGATGTGATGGTGATTAGTTATAAATGTCTGCCGTTCCTTGGGGCATTTGGGGTTTACCTTAAATTACCTGGATCCTGCTGGCTCCCTGCTCCTCCCAGTACCAGCCACTGATTTGCCTTAAGTGATGCAAAGCACCACTGTGACATTTCACAAATGTTTTAAGAAAGATAAGCATAATTGCTGCCTTGTACCCAACTGACTGCCATCAGCCAAGTGCTTACCTGAAAGAGTATCTCATTTTTGATCTTTCCCTGTACTCTCTTCAGAACTTACAGTGA